TGTATTTGATTATGTTTATCTGCAGTTAGTTATACGAATTCAGATATGGAGCTTTAATAAGTTGTACTTACGTCCAATCTATTTGTAATCTTGAGTTTTAAGTAATATGCATTAATAAACAGTACTTTACGTATAAAAAGTAGGGGTGAGCATAGGCGGGTACCCGCCCTATTTGACAGGAACCGGAACCGGCGGTTATTAAGATATTGGAACCGGAACCGTCGGGAACCGGTTCCGGTTCCGGGTACCCGCTTCCTAAAATATTAAAATTTTGTTATTTATAAATAAAAAATAGAACATTGGCAAAACAGTAAATAAATAAACAATGGTTACAAATATTGTTTAACGATTATAAACCATAATAGACTAATAGTAAATGTTGAAAATTAACGATTACATACTATAATTGTAAATGTTCAAAGTTTAACGATTACGTACTACAAATCTAATTAAACACACAATTTGAAAAATACGAATCATTTTATCTTCTGAATCTAGAGTTCTAAGTTCTTGACATAATTTAAATTAGTATTAAAAAATATTAATTGAAAAATACTGGGTACCTGCCGGTTCCGGGTACCCGGTCCCGAAAGCGGTACTGGAGAGTAACGGTTCCGAAAAATTGAGAACCGGAACCGGAACCACTCTCAATCGGTTCCGTATTTTAGGAACCGGAACTGGAACCACTCATATCGGTTCCGGTTCCGGAACCGGCAATTCCAAGGCAGTTCCGATTCCGCAAATGGGTACCCGGTTCCGCTGCTCACCCTTAATAAAAAGTGGTTTATAAGAGTTTTTATCAAATGCTTTATAATATAGTATAGATATTCATTATAACAGTTACTTTCGAATAGACCACAATTTTAAAAAATAACATATGATAATTAGATGAATATTTTGAAAATCTGATAATAGAAAGCAGAAACGACAAAATAGCAATCAATATGCAAGAGTTGTTATAGACAAGTAGAGTATCGTCGCTTAAAACTTTGTCAAAAATAGAAACAATGCACATCATATGAAGTCATTTCGAAATAAATTAAGACGTGTAACATAAATTTTCCCAACAGTTACTCAAATTATTTTTGTACATAAAAGGTTTTTTAGTTGGCAGGTCTCGAGCATACCTTCATATCGACCCGATAACATGTAAGAGACAAATCAAGTATACCAGCATGGCTGCCTTAACAGCCAAGTGTCTTCAAAGAGCCCGATCCGTAAAGGAATTGTGATTTTCATTTTTTTTTATTAACCTGGATATCCAACCCGCTATGCGAGCCGACTAATCCCAGAACGACCACATGTTTTGCAGATAGCCCGGAGTCACCGCATTTGAACCTTCATGGCCACAAAGGGGATTTTTATTCCTCCTTGGATTTGAACCTGAGACCTCCTGATACTTTTAATCTTTAAAGCCAAACTCAAACCAATAAGACACCACCTTTGTGGTTGTGATTTTCATGTTACAGTTATTTGACTCATAACTTAACCAATTTGTGTAAATATATCATCTCAAAATCAACAATATATACCATTATTGAAATAATTATATAATATATGAAATAATATGCCTTAGGATATGCATTTTGTGTGTTTGCCACAAATTTCTTAGGGTACAACCCATTAT